ACTTAGGTTGTTTCCAACTCCTTGCTATTGTGAACAAAGCTGCAATAAACATGGGTGTGCATATATCTGCTTGGATGTCAGGTATGGTCTCTTCAGGGTATTCCCAGGAGTGGAATTGCTGGGTCAAATGGTATATGGCTTTGACAAGCACTGTGGCAACTGGATAATTAAAACAGACATTCGGAGGGAGGGGGAAGAAGAACTAACTGGGGAGGAGGGTAGAGAGAACGGTGCAGCAATGAAGGAATGAAAACCCAAAATCCCTGTAAAAGTTCATTAAAACTAATAAAATTTAATAATAATAAAAAAGTTGCCTACAAAATTTTAAGTGCCTGAAGACTATTATAAAGTCAAAGTATTACTTATGTCAATAAATGAAAATATGGATTACATATTGACTGTACTTACTGGCTTTTCTCAGAAACTCTGCAATACACAAGATAATCATCACATATACAGAAAGAATGTCAGAGGCAAAAGGGTAAGCGAGCAATATTTGGATTAAAATAAGAAAAATATTTTAAGGACGATGCATTTAACAAGATTCTAGACCATTACCAACTGAAAGCTAACACTCTAGAAGGTTTTCAGAGGAAGTAAATTGCACAGATCTCTGCCCATCTTTCTTCCCCAGGGTAGCTGGTGGATTCGAACCGCATCCCTTTAGGATTGCACCAAAGTTTCATGCCACTAAGTCACCAGATCTCCTTAATCTTCTAATTTCTTTATACCACTTTATCCATTAAGCAACGAACATGTAGAATTCAGACTAAAATCAGGAATGATATGTTCCTCTTTAGTGTCTGCTTTCAAAATAAGTAAACAAATTATTTTTTTAAATTTTTGACATATCAACTAACCAGATTTAATAAATACTGGTATTGTGTTTTCCACACTTTTATGTTAGTGGGAAGAGAAATCTCTTGAAACAACAATTAAATTCACTTAAGTCAACATTTTTAGGTGAAAACACACACATTTCTGGCTGCGGCTGTGCAACTTAACGGATTTACTGAGAAATCTGGATTTAGAAGACACCACAATCAGAAGGAAAAAGTCCCTAGATGAAAGACCCAAAGATGAAGCTGAGCAGGCAGAGAATGCGGTATAAGCCAAGTCATCAGTCACACAGAAGCTTTAACATTTTATTATACATTTATTACACATTAGTAATACTGTTTTCTTGTGGGAATTACTTCCCAAAAATGTTAATTATAGCAAAATAACTTTCTCTTTTTTAAATTAATTTTAATGAAAGTTTAGAGACTTCGGGTTTCTAATTATTCATTGTTGCACTTTTTTCCCTGCCCACCCTCTCCCCCAAATCATTTTTAAAGAAACCAAAAAATAACTGGTTGGTTCCAAAACATCTGAGATACAAATTTGCTATTGTTGTTAGATGCTGCAGTTTGAACCCATCAGCTGATCAATGGAAGAACGATGGCAGTCTGCTTCAGTAAAAATTCACAGCTTTGGAAATCCTATAGGGAAGTTCATAAACAATTCAATGGCTATTTGTAGGGTTTGTTTTAGATGCCAAAACAAGTTTGTTTTTTTCCCCTTGTGTGTGTACTGTCAAATCGGATCTGACTGGTACAGCAGGAGATTGCCCCTCCTTTTCCAGCAGGGCATCTGGTGGATTCATACCGCATACCTCTGGGATTGCAGTGCAGCTTCTTGCCACAAGGCCACCACAGCTCCCTCAAAACAACTTTAAAGGTGGTAAAATAGGGTGAAATTTTTAATTTCCTACCCTAAGGACTTGATTTTTAAAACTGGAGTGGTAAAGGTGAAGGGATACACAGATTCTGTGTCCACCTACACAGATAGTAGCATTCTTTGATATAACTCTATTACATATTCAGCACCTACAACAGTATTTGGTACACAATAGCTTCCTAACAAGTATCTGGTAACAAATGGACAAAGAAAAAGCTATTGATTGCTTTAAAAAATAGAGGAATTTCAGGTTTTTATTCATTATATATGTCTTAGACTAATTAAAATGATTCATAAATAACTTTCCAGAAACCAGTATTCTCTATTTTAGATCAGTAGCTGTTAATATTGAAGCTCTGGTAGTTTAGTGATGAGAACTGCGCTACCAACTCAAAAGTTATGTGGTTTGGATCTACCAGCAGTCCCATAAGAGAAAAATGGGCAATCTCCTCCTATGTGATTTAGTGCTTTTGAAAACCTGCTGGTGGGTCAGCTAAGGTAATCATTACCTTTAGTACTTATTATAGACTCACTATTACCTAGGAGTGATTTCCCATCTCCCTACCTCCTTCTGTCCACTCTATTATTTCTATGCTAAGTGAAGCCAAGATTATCTGGATATTAAATATATGTATTTGCCAGTATAAAAGTCAACATTACTGACAGCCTTAAATACAAAACAATACAAAGTTTTTCAATATTCTACACTAAGGAACCTAGAACAAATTCCAAGTGATATGTCATTGAAAAAAAAAAAAAGACAGACTTAAAAGGCAAAGAAAATTAATTTAAAAAAATCAAATTATGTATGTGGGAAAAATTTAGTATAAAATCCACTAAAATGAGGAGGGAGCAAAAATATCTTTTGCTTCATCTCCCTATCTTTCCTGCAAAACATTGACTTGATTTAATTATATTTGAAGAGTAACATTACATTGTTTTTATATACTAAGAAACTCTTAACTCCTAACAGTATACCACAAATTTAAGATCTCAACTAAAAATACATAATTAAAACACTATTTCATTATAATTCTGAGCTATGCTTTTGTATGTTTAATGCTTTTCTTTTTTCCCTAGTAAAAATGTGTTCTCTGTTTATCTTATGTAAGTTTCTCAGAGTTATCAAGTTCTCAAAAAAATCACACTGGAGGAAACTGGCTATCTTTCTCCCAAGGATATACTGGTGGATTCAAACCTTCAGAGAGGTGCAGCCTTTTGGTTAATAGCACACCTCCCTATGGACTATAATACCACCCACCAGCACTCACACTATAAAATACTACAGACTATGCTGGAGAGAGTACTGAATATCCCATGGTCTACCAAAAGAATAAATATGTCTTAAAAAAAGTGCAACCACACTGCTCCTTAGAGGCAATGATGGTGAACTTCACCTCACATACTTTAGGCATGTTATTAGGAGGGGCTGTCCTTGAAAAGACATCACCATGCTTGAAAAGGTGGAGGATAACAGACAGAGAGGAAGACCCTCAACAAGAGGGTATCAGTGGGCTCAAGTATATACGAAATGATTAGCAGTGCACAGGATAGGACCAAGTTCAAACAGATCTGTTATTCAGAGAGTTGCTAGGAGTTGTAGTTGCTTTGACGGCACCTACCAACAATGACAACATAGAATCGACTATGTCATGGTTCAGTAATATTCTTTGAAACAAAAAGTAATCCCCCAATACCAAGTAATATCTGAAGGAAAGGGACAGTGAACTATACAGAAGCTGTCATCCTTAATGTCAAGAAGGATTAACCTCTGTATCATGCCAACTATTCTTACCCTGGAGACCTGAGCACAGCGACACAAGGTAACGACATCCAGAAAAGAGAATATTCTAAAAAGAAAAGAGAGACAAACTTTATTATAAAGTTTTTCTTATTTGTCTATAAATAACTGATTAACATAATCCAAAAGAGCCGAAATTCTTTCCAACACACACATACAAAAACATTTAACTTAAAAATACTGACCATATGAAACATAAAAGGACTAAGAAATATTTTACTTATTGACATACTTATGTACAATGAATGATAAAAAGACTCCTAATTGAAACTCTGTCTCACATGCTTTGGGCAAGTGGCCAGCAAGGACCTATCCTTGGAGAAGGACATCATGCTCAGAAGGGTGGAGGGAGAGCACAAGAGAGGAAGACCTCAGATGAGATGGATTGATACAGTAACTAGGGCAAGGGGGTAGGTGTGTTAGAGTCAGTGAGACTGGCTCAGGACAGGGCAGGTTTCAGAGCTTTTGTACATAGGGTTGCTATGAGTCGCAGGCAACTCAACAGCACATAACAATAACAACAAGAATGGATATAGTTAGGTTTTGGGAGTTTTGGTAGGCTACTCGGGTTTATTTATTGATATTTTTTAAGAGTAAAATAGTAATGATAGATGTATTAGAAAGTTATATCCCCAAAAGGATGTACCTCTTTACCTGAAAGGAAACTTGGAAGCAAGGCCTGGATGGATTTAGTTTTATAAAAGTAAAAGGAATTAAAAAAAAAAAAAAAGTAAAAGGAATCAATTTTTCCGAAATCTAAATATAAAAAGAAATGCCCTAAGGGGAAGTATCATTAGAATGATAAAATTATATTACATAAGGACAAATTAATAATGTAATAACTAAGATTTTAATATAATTAATCCCAATTTAAAAAATAAAAACTTAAAAAAAGAAAAAATTTTAAAAATTAAAACTATCAATGTTAGAAAAAGATGCTAATTTTTTTAAAAATTATTTGTGTGTATACCATTAAACTGGATCTGAGTGGTACAGGAGATTGTCCCTCCTTCTCCCACAGAGCATCTAGTAGATTGAACCATGCTCCTCTGGGATTGCAGTACAAATTTTTTTTTCACTCTTTTACAAAGGTCAAATACTTATTTTGAAGTAAAACAAATTTTCTCTGCTAATACACTTGATAAACTTTTTTTTTTGAGGTTTTCTCTTCTTTTAATCAATGACCACATTCTTCAACTTTGGAAACGTGGACAAAGAGGCTGAGAAGCAACCTTTCTAAAACTAACAAATTAAGCTTTTCTGCAAATGGGGGAAAGGTACAATGTAACATGTTTTAGATAGTTAGACTAAAATTCATTGGGCTTTAAGAACTTTATGACATGCTTTCAGTCAACTGGAGATTTCTGTACAAATGGGCATCAAGAATCAGAGATGCATAAAGGCTTGCTAGATTTATTATTCTATGGTTTTGTAAAAAAGCTTTTCTTGTCAACTTGTCAACATACCAAATATTGCTGCTAGGTGATCACTCACATTTTGGAACTTGAAATAACTTTTGTTAAAAAAAGTTGTGTGCATTTGGTAAATATTTTCAGGTTTCAAGCAGAAATGGCATTTGATGAAATCATTCTAAGATGTAAGAAAAACAGCAACTGAGTTGTTTGTTTACAAGAAATTGCCCTAATGCTTTCTTACACATTTGCTTCCAAGATGTTTCTTAATAGGGTCTCTGCAAATTGTAGCTGACTCAGTGGTATCTTACAACAACAACAGTAAATGCTGACATGTTCTGATTTGCTACAGTTACAAAGGTCCATACAAAGAACTGATTAAGAGTTGGATAGGCTGGGCTGTGTGGCAACACAGGGGGCAGGTTAGGTATAACTGCAATCTCAAGTCACCAGCAGAGGAAGTCCCTGATCAATAGCCTTGACAATTACAATACAAATAAAATCTACAGTGATAGCTAGAGAGCCTGCTTTCTCTAAGAGACAAAATGGGTGGATAAAAAGGAAAGGATAGTTTATTTACATGCTAGGTAAGCTTTCTAAAAGTTGTGCACCTTGCCAGAAAGGAAAGAAATATAGAACCAGGTGTTTTAAGTGTTAATTCAAAATATATTTTACCACCTTTCAATTTTCACATTTAGGTCCTTGCTATTGTGCAGTGGCATAGTCTGGAGCAGGAAGTAGATACAAAATAAGTGCAAACTTGTAAGGTTAGCCTTTGTGTCCAACTTACTAACAGACTGCCTTGTCCCATCCTCACCACTTCTGTTCTTTAAGCTTCTTGCAGTCACTGGGTCAGTCCATCTCATAGAAGGTGGCATTTCATTTACTGAACTACTTTTTTGGAGCATGATCCAGGCCCTCCTGATAACATGCCCAAAGTGTGTGAGATGAAGTCTCACCACCCTTGCTCAAAGGAGTACCTGGCTGCACTTTTGAGACAGATTTTTGGGGCAATTCATAGTACAGTCATTACTCTTTGCCAGCACCACAATTCAAAGACATCAATTCTTCTTAGCTCTTATCTTTCAGCAATGGAAAATACCATGGCTCAGGTCTGGTCAGTCCTTGAATAGACTGATTTCTTAGTATTTTAAAGACGTCCTTGAAAGTATATTCTCCTAATGTAACAAGTCTTGATTCCTTCACTGCTCCTTTCATGAGTGTTGACTGTAGATCTAAGTAAAATGAAATTCTTGGAAATTTCATTCTTTTCTCCATTTATCATGATGTTGCCTATTGGTCCAGTGGTAAGGATTTTTATTCTTGATGTTGAGATGCAATTCATATCTGTAGTGCAATTCATATCTTCTTCAGTAAGCACCTACAAGTCTTCCTCACTTTTTGCAAGCAAAGTTGCATCATTTACTAAACACATATTCTCTTTATAGAGTTCAATTTCTCATTTGTTTGGCATAGATTGGTTAGGTATGGGAAAAGGATACAACCTGGATGAACAACTTATCTGATTTTACATGCAGTATTACCCTTTTTTTTTGTTAAACTATGGCTTCTTGGTCTATGTATAGGTTCTGCAAATGTATGATTAAGTATCCTGGAATTCTCATTCTTCCCAATGTTATGCACAATTTAAAAAAATCAGATAGTTGAATGTCTTTGCACAGTCAATAAAACATCTTTCTAGTATTTTCTGCTTTCTGCTAAGATTCATCTGACATCAGCAATGATACCCTTTATTCCATAGCCTCTTGTGATTCGAATTAAATTTCCGGTAGTATCGTTTTAATGTACTATCTCAACTGCTTTTTTTGTGTGTTTTTTTAAAACAAACTTAGTTTTCATTATATCACTCCTATACACGGTGTTGTGTAAACACTTAATTAAAATTTCATTCAAGAATTCATACATTTTTATATTAACTAAAATGTTGTTGGTGGTGGTGTTAACGAAAATAGATTACTATAATCCATTAATTACAATGTCTGATAAATATGTTGCATAATGCCTTTCCCTTTTTACATGATGTATCAATTTTTATTCCCATTTTCCTTTGCTTCCGTTCTGTGTAACCATTCTAAATTAATTCTATCTTGGTATAAGCCTTTCCTTAGCTTTAAAAAAATCAGTGGTTTTATACTTTAATAGGGAGTTCTGGTGGCCTAGTGGCAAGAAACTGTACTCCAATCCCAAAAACACAAAGTTCAAAGGCACCAGCTGCTCTGTAGAAGAAGGATGGACTATCTCCTTCTGTGTGATTGACTATAAAAACCCACTGGAGGGTCAGCTATGGTTTGGTTCCCACTCAATATCTCATAACAACACACTTTAACAGTCCTATTTTGCTTAGCATAATGTCCTGTAGGTGAATCCATTTTCTACATTGCTATTATTTATTAGTTCTAAGATACCATGATTTTTCTAGTTTTCATGATGACAATGCTTACTCTTATTCTCTTTTTGCTTTGTAGTAGTCACCATTAGCTGACTGATACCTCAAATGTGCTGTTTTTAGTCTCATATGTCTACTATGTGTATTTTTGTATCTGGGTCAGTTTCTCAATGATATTGCCATGTATGTTAATTTCAGAGTGCTGTTAGTGGTGACTCTCGGTCCAAAAAACTCTTTTAGAATTTCTCGTAAGATCAGTCTAGTTTGCACAAATTCCCTTGAAGTGGGATATGGCCTCCCTTCTGTCTAATCCTCCAGCCAGTTGGCCAGGTATGACAAACTTCTTGGCACAGATAAGTGAGGTATGTGAGACAGAGCTTCAAAACCTAGCCTCAAAGAACATACTTGGTTTCAACCTCTTCAAGACAGACAGATTTGTTTTCTTGGAGGTCCATGCTATGTTCAAGATTCTTCTCCAGCACCACAACTCACAGGCATCAATTTGTCTTCTGTCACCCTTAGTCATTATCCAGCTCTCTGATGCATAGCAAGTAACTGCTAAGATTTACTTAATTCAACTCATCTTTTGATTTCCTGACTGCTAGTACCAAGAGTGTTGTCTGCAGAGCCAAGCACACTCTGTTAACAATTTCAATCTCTTCTCCATCCATCACAGTGCTGCCAATTGGCCCAGTGGTAAGAATCTTTGTCTTCTTGATGTTGAGCTTCAATCCATACTGAAGATTACAGTCCTTGATCTTTTGCAGCAAGTGCTTCAGGTCCTCCTCAGTTTCAGCAGCAAGGCTGTGTCATCTGCATAACAGGTTGTTGATGATCTTCCTCCAATCCTGATGCCACATTCCTCCTCAAAGAGCCCAGCTTCCCAGATGATCTGTACTGCATTCAGATTGAAAAGGTATGGAGACAGATGCATTCTTGACACACTTCCTTCCTGATTTTAAACCATGAAGTGTTTCCCTGCTCTGTTCTGAGGTCTGTTTCCTGGTCCAAGTATAGGTTTCACACAAGCACAATCAAGTGCTCTGGAATTTCCTTTCTCCTCAAGGTTAACCACAATTTATTGTGATCCACACAGTCCAATGCATAGAATCCTTTAGTATACTGTTAATTCAAGGTTTTAATTTTTGTTTTTCTCAAGTTCTTTCAGCTGGTTTTGGTTTATTAAATCCAGGTCTTTACATCTTTCATTTCTATATTGTGTTCCAAATG